TATTTCAATTAATTAATAAAATTTCTTCAAAAAAGTGTACTCCTTCACTTATTATTAATACACAGATTTGTAACCACACAGGATGGCAGGACGGGTGGTACAAACGGACAGAGGGTGATTGTACATGTAAAAAAAAGAAAAAAAAACGGAAAGCCACACCCAATGTGTATTAGATGGTCTTTCAGTTTATTATTAGAAAAATTAATGCAAAGAGTTACAACTGCATAATAGATCTTTTAACTGAAGTAAAACGAACAATGAATATCATTACACCTACCACAAATTCTTGTAGAACATAGATAAGTACATTGTCTCCATCTTGTAGATGCTTCATATTTAAATAATGCACAAGATTTGAATGATGTAATTTATGTAAGTGATTTACTTCTTGTTCTAAACTTCCTACTTGTTTCATAATGTGTTGGGCACTGTTTTCTTCAATTTTATTATTTATATTTAATGTCCATTCACTAATTGCAAACAATTCTCCTGTTGCCATATCTACACCTGCATAAACAACTGATCCTTTACTGCTATGGCCCATACATTTTGCTCTGCACACTTGTCGTTCGTCTATAATAATGATCACACATTACAATAAATAACGAATAAAATTTAATCATCTTTTAAGATATGTATAGGTGAATCTTTGAAAGACTGTATTAATTCTATTAAATGTATTATATTCAATAATTATTTCAAATAACCTTACGTCAATACGTTATCATATAGTGTCTTATAAAATTTTCAAATCTTTCTAGATATTTTTTAAACTTAAAACAGTATCTCATAAATAATTATTATATGTTATATACCTTTATTATAGTCGAAGTTTAACAATTTTGTACCTCTGTGGTCGCATAAAAAACTATCAGAACTTTCAGAACTACTAACACATCGTCTTCGAGAATATGTCCGTGATCTTTCTTGAGGAGATGACGGTATTGATTGGAATGGATTATGTGATCGGTCACCACTCAAGCGAATAGATTCTTTCCGATTACGAAGCTCAGCTTTTAAGGCCTCTTGTCTTTTTTGGATTTCATCCTGCAATAACTGTAATTTTTTGTTTTAAATTAAATATTTAAATTAAAATAGATATACCTAGTGAATATTTAACAGTACTTATCGTATTTATAATAAATCAATAGTGATTTGTATAAAAATCATAACCATACGTATTAAGGTACATATATAACAGTTATTAATGTAGAAAGATTGTAATCTAAGTATAATACACAAATATACAAAAGAGTTAAGGTCAAATCCCTTAAGTATAAATGAACTATAGAATATCAGGAATGTTTAGCTTGAAATAAAATAGACAAAAGTTTCTGTTAGGAAATTATATTTTTTAAATTATGATTTAATGCTTGTAATACTTAAGCATTTATTATCACTCACAGAAAAAATTGTACACCGTATATCAGAAGAAATATAAAATTTCAAGATTGTCTTTTGTCATACTTTCTCAAAATAAGAAAGCAATATTATAATATTCGGACGTGATTCGAATTTATGTATAATTAAAAAAACAGTTCGAACCTGCACAGTCTCAACTTATTCTCATTTCTTTGGAGAAACCTCTGCAATTGATCGGCAACAATGTCATAAAACCTTGGTAGAAAAAAAGAACAAAGATTTTGATCTTTATTAGCTGATTATTTGGACGTGTGCAATTATCGTTTACATTTATTACCGATCTGTGTTATGCAAGACTCAGCCATCGCGCTCTGTTGCTCTATCTTGTTTGCTCACGGTGTCGTATGATCTCTTTTTCTTGTCGCAGAAAATTTCATAAAAAACAAATAGCGCTTAAAAGTGGACCCCTTTTATAATCACTTATCCGGGATTTACTGTATTCTTGATTAGTTGTCAATCATACCAGGTCTAAGGTCGGTGAACAAAAATTTTGGCAACGAGGCGGAATTTCCTTCAGGACTTCGTCTTCCATATCAGTTCCAGGCTTCTAAACCAGGCTACCTGAGTTTAGGAAAAATACAAAAACTTTAATTTTTCGCACAGAATAACTCGTCCTGCGCGCTTATCTTATTTCTCTCAACAATCAGATCAGCGTTTGCTCCTTGTTGCTTCATTTTACTCCCCCTTGAAGTAAGTTGAAGTAAACCGAATAACATCAAGGAACAACGTGCTAATCATTGCAAACCACCTTTTCTTTCCAAGCGTCGGTACATTAACTAAGGTATTAATGTACAATAAAGTGTACCAAGTTGAGATGCAAATCAAGCGTTCGTGTACAGTAGTTCCCGGATAACTGACCAATTTTTCTCCGATTAAGATTTCACGGAGAAAATCTCACTGCATTTTTTTAGCTAACTGAACGCGAGCAACAGCATAATCGATCGGCAACAGATCAAACCGATCATTACACGCACCAATAAATCATCCAATAATGACAATTTTCACCTATCGATTGCTTAAGTTCTTTCTCTCCATGAAAATGAGTCCAAACGTGACCTCATTTGGATTACATTTCCTTACACATAAATTTAGTGAAATAATCAGGTTTGTCATTGTATAATTGCAGGTGTATGCGTATGCAACGAATTTTCAAAATCAATTTTCTCGAGAGCAAAGACTCAAATGTAAAAATTTTATTCTGTAATTTGGACTCATTTTTTTACAAGTAATTACCCTGTATCTGGTTCTAGCAGGATTACTTGCACACCCTGTATAATACACGGAAGAGAACAATTAGAGAATTCCTTGTTTCGTGAAAAACTATTAATAAAAAGAAAATTAATTTGAATAATTGACGTTGAAATTCGAACAGTTGGAATTATATTTTTTTTTTATGAAGCTAGCAAGCCAAACATCCTTAACATATAATAATTTGTTTATATTCACGAGTTCTTCAAATTCAAGGCTTATCTTGTTAAAGCAATTTATTAATAGAAGTAGTGATTTAGTCTTGTCAGTTGACTTTTACTTGATATTGCTTATATAACGTACTCTAACCTGTCTTTCTTTATCTTCCTTTAGTTGCTTTTCCAACATTTCATATTCAATTTTTTCCTGGCGTCGTGACACCATTTCTTCATAGAAACTACTGTAGCTTGGTTTGTTGTTCTCGTGTAGATATCTCTCAACATGTTGCGTTAATTCAAAGATCATTACTTCTCCTTGTAGTCGTTTTGTCAGTTCCACTAATTCAGTATATAATACCGCAATTTGTTGATGAGACAACCCGCTGCTATTTTGTAATACTATTTTCGGCACTCTGCAACGTGTGTAATAAAATCCGTAAAAATCAATTTCGCAACATCGATTATATAAACGTACGTTAAATTACATTGGTCAAATTTAACATATTTTCAACAATGAAATATTACGTTTCGCAGATCTATTTTATAGTACAGTCGTGATCCGACAAATGCGCCTAGCTTAAGAAATCATTCTAGCGGGACGGCCAAAAATTTCGGCAACTTTCAACGATTACTTTTCAGTGAATACAAAATGTTATAGTATAGAACTTTTTATGATTTATTAAGATACTTATAAAGAATATAAAACAATATTAAAACTATTCAAATTAATTTCTTTAATGCCTTTTTTGCAAAGCAAAGGTGGCACTTTTTGGATCTTTTTTAATTGGACACGCTATATTTTTCTACTGTTAATATTATACCGTTTGTTGAAACGAATTCAACAAGGTGCCGCAATAAGTTATTTCGTTTTATAGAAAGTTGTAAAGTTGTGAGAAATTTGTAATAATAATAAGTTTATTTATTTCGGCCTTTCGGCCCAGAAATGAACTTGGCTTACAAAAATATATAAGTATAATACATTCACACTCACACCTATCCCTCCACTCCATCCCTCTCCTGTGTTTCTACTATCAACGTTCCCTCTCCTTCCTCTCTCTCCTTTTTTCTACCTCCCTAAGCCATTTAACCACCTTCTCGTTACTTCTACCATCCACCACTTGTTCCAGGCTATATCCTCTCCACTTCCTCACACTCTTCTAACAAATGCTTTATTGTACCATATCCCCGCTCGCATAGTTTGCATAATCTGTCCTCTTCCTTTAGCCAGTACCTGTTGTACTCCTCCAGATTCCCACATCTTGCTCTGGCTATTATGCATTGCCCCGCCTTACTCCCCTTCTTGACTAGGTACTCCGGCCTTAAGGCATATCTTATGTATTTAAACCTATTATTGTATCTAGAGGCGGCGATCCTCTCATATTGCACTTGTAGCTGTGTCTCACTGTCTCTGTCAGCTTCTCGCGAATTCGTACCTCGTTTACCTTATTCTCTTCGTACAGGGCCTTCTCGAAGCCCTCCTGGCTAAGGCCATTCCTCCTTAAATACTCCAGCCTATCTAAAGTGCTACTTATCTCTAACTTACTTACTGCCTTCTCCTTGTGAGGAATTTGTGTTAGTAGCACAATAAAGTAGGATTTAGCTGACCGAAGACGTGTCACACGTGTTGACCTAACTCCCTAATCTTTCACTATTTTACGATTTTTCATAAAACGAAATGACTTCGCGTAACACATCGTTGAATATGTCTCAACAAACGTTGTTATATTATGAAACTTTGAAACCTCTCCCACTACTTCAACCGTGAAGAAACTATTTATACCACATTATGTCCCCCATCACACCAAACAACTTTTCAGTTCTTTCTGAGATATTCCATCGTGTCGAATTGAAAAAGACACCCTGTACACCAAAGAACAGACTTTTTTGTATTAGGATTATTAGTACTCCTTGTTTACTTAATAATTGTTTAGATAAACATAATGTTAATAATGCCTAATCACCTTACAACTTTATCTAATTCTCCTACTTCGCAAAATTATCTACTACATACGCAGTGAACATTTTGTAATTACAAAAGACAATATTATTATCCATGTATAATTTTGTAATAAATATTTCGTTTACAAGCAAATATTTTAGAAACAACATTTTCAACTACTTGCGGAATTTTACAATTGTTAATGCTCGTTAATTCAGTTAACATTATTTTGCATAATTTTTTCATTCTAGAAACATTAAGGAGAAGACAGCGTAAAGAGAGACTGATAAGAAATATAGCTAAAAAATAGGAAATGTTGTTCAATTATAAGCACAATTTTACTACCCTGTGGTAGATATAATGTTCATACTACCACATATTAAAAAACAATAGAATTGAAAATATTACACAAGGAAGAACATTAAAGTTAAAAAAAAGTCGTCTAACACAAAACATAAAAACCGTTTTTTACTTACTGATCAGGATACTTATCGTTGCACGTTACATGTAGATCTATTTGTGCGTAAACTTCGGCTGGTCCTGACATGCCTTTTTGAGGCTTCAAAGTAATCAAAATATCCAATGGTTGCCATTTCTGCCTATTTTTTCTACTGCGTAAGTCACGAAGTTCGTCTCCAAAGATACTCTAGAAAATATGTATATTGCAATAAATTATTGAATGCATAAAAGTGTACTATACGTCATATTGAAAACAAAAGGTTACATATTTTCAAGACAAATTTACAGAAGCGTATAGCTGAGGTCGAAAGAGCTACAGTGAGGTCGTAAATTACGACGATAAGCGAAAACATCGATTGATCTAGCCGCATGCAAGGCTGTAGGTGTCTTAACACGTTCGCTACCAAGCGTCACATATGCGTGATGCACCCATTCTCTACATTTACGGTATTATCTACATATAATAAATCATAAAAAATGCACAGTTTGAGTATTTAATGAGTATTAGGTGTGTATAAGTGCAGGCATCCATTGTATTATGCAAAACTGATCAAACTGTAGATATTAACACGTTCCGTGCCGAACCGATTTTCAGTGACTTTCCATTCACGCCACGTGGGTCGTATGCGCCCCACGTTGTCGAGAGTAACAGTTTTGCTTTCGACCCTATATGTCTTCTAATATCTATAAGATTGCAAAAATCATTGTTATCAAGAAAAAGGTAACGTTTAAGATGCACTATAGAGCAAAGGAAAAATTTTTGTTTTAACAAATTATCGCCGTAGTTGCATAGTTCAAGTCAACGGAGGGAAAAGACGGAAATATCGAGCGGCCTGAACGGAAAGTCCAGAGTGGGGCATATGCAACCCACACGGCACGGAAAATGTTAAGAATGTAAATCAAAATAATTCGTATGAACGTGTGAACGTGTTAAGTACGCCCTACACCAGTGCCGTACGCTTCCCTGGACGTAAGCAAATCGGCGAGAGTGTCAGTAAAATGTAGGATCGACCTACATCCACGTAAAAAAAAAAGTGTAGGGTCGATTGCACAAGTGGTAGTAAAATGTAGGGTCGATAGCAGCAGAAAAGCTGCTAAACATTTAGAATTAAATGTAACGATAGAAATTATTGCAATAATGTGTAATATCTTTCTCGATTCTAGAATATAAGAAAATTTGAATAAAATACGCGACGAGAATTGGGGAGAAGCATAAGTTAAACGCGTAAAAATATTCATTAATAAACGAACTAGGGACGAAGCTATTATTTCAATACGCGATGCACTGACTCTAGTATTTACTAAAATTCAAAAATTCTCGCATAAATTCCGAAAATAGATTATTAATTACGGTAAACTACTGAGACGGTTTAATTAAGGGTGGGCATGGTGCTGCTTTAGTTTGAAATGATTTATAAACACATAATTAACAGAGGAAAAACCGTGAAACGGCAAAACGTCAACATTCTAATTGTTATAACATGTAAACAAAACTTTAAATTTAGTGTAAACAGAAAAAATATATAATACAATTTATTTCACGGTATTGCAACAAATAAACGTTGAATCAATATTTAATTCGTATAAAAACAATTATTTAACGTAATAATTTTACCTTCACTATGGCTATTTTTAATCTACGACCACAGGTCAACCTGATTTCTAATCCTTACGAACTTTAAATTCAGTCTAAACTGAGAAAATATATAATACAATTTATTTCACGGTATTGCAACAAACAAACGTTGAATAGATTCTTAATTCGTATAGAAACATTTATTTAAAATAATAATTTCACCTTCACTATGGCTATTTTAAATTTACGACCAAGGGTCAACCTGATTTTTAATCCTCCGAACTTGATTTCACAACGAGAAAGTAATAAGATCGTTGAAACGTACTTATTTGTCAAAGAAACTTGCAAAAATGTATAAATAATAATATGTAATGTTTTAACAAATTTTTGGAAGTATAAATTAATAATAAAATTGTGAAAATTAATAAATTATACGTTATTATAACATTAATAGAATTATGACTAAACCGAAGTTCGAAGTCGAGTATTTAAAGTCTGATATTACGTGCCTAGCGAGTGCCGGTAATTGTTAAAATTTGTTTAATAATTAGTAATAGAAATTCTAATTGATTCTAATGTATACAAGTGTTACAAGAAGGCTGAGTGTGTACAGGGTGGACATAGACTAGCTAGTAGCCCCCGACCACTCTATTCACATCTCAGAACCTTCAGGTCAAAATACGCCGCGAAGTGTCTAGGGCCCAGTATAAAGGGTGAATAAATTAGCGGGACATCGTCGGGTCCTTATATACCTGCGGTACCCTCTCCCCAAAGTCATTAGCAAAATCGTCCGTTAGGTCAGGCGGGAAATTTTCGCGGGAGATTTTCGCGCGAGAATTCCGATATCGTAACACGGTATAATTTATCAATTTTCACAATTTAATTAAAAATTTATACTTCCGACAAATTGTTATAACATTGCATATAACAATTTATACGTTTTTACAATATTCTTCAATGGAAACATAGGTTTCAGCGTTCTCGTTACTTACTCGTGGTTAAATTAATTTCGTAGGGATTAAAAATCAGGTTGACCTGTGGTCGTAGATTAAAAATAACCATAGTACAGCTAAATTTATCGTGTTAAATAATTCTTTTTACACGAACCAAAAATGTATTCAACGTTTGTTTGTTATAATATCGTGAAATGAATTATTTGTGCAGTTCTGTGCATTTTCTGTGCAGTTCAACCTAATTTACTTAAATTTACATTGCGAGACAGTATACTGTAACAAGTAGTAACAAGCAAACGTTGAATAAATTCCTAATTCGTATTAAAAAAATTATTTAACACAATAATTTCAGCTTTATTATGATTATTCTTGATAAATGACCACAGGTCAACTTGATTTTTAATCGTTATAATCTTTAAATTCAGTGTGAATAGAGAAAATGTGTAATATAATTCATTTCACAATATTATAACAAACCAACGTTGAATACATTTTCCATTCGTGTAAAAAGAATTATTTAACACGATAAATTGAGCTGTACCATGGTTATTTTTAATCTACGACCACAGGTCAACCTGATTTTTAATCCCTACGAAATTAATTTAACCACGAGTAAGTAACGAGAACGCTAAAACCTATGTTTCCATTGAAGAATATTGTAAAAACGTATAAATTGTTATATGCAATGTTATAACAAATTGTCGGAAGTATAAATTTATAACAAAATTGTGAAAATTGATAAATTATACCGTGTTACGATATCGGAAATCTCCCGCGAAAATCTCCCGCGAAAATTTCCCGCCTGACCTAACGGACGATTTTGCTAATGACTTTGGGGAGAGGGTACCGCAGGTATATAAGGACCCGCGAAATTATTATTTTAAATAAATGTTTCTATACGAATTAAGAATCTATTCAACGTTTGTTTGTTGCAATACCGTGAAATAAATTGTATTATATATTTTCTCAGTTTAGACTGAATTTAAAGTTCGTAAGGATTAGAAATCAGGTTGACCTGTGGTCGTAGATTAAAAATAGCCATAGTGAAGGTAAAATTATTACGTTAAATAATTGTTTTTATACGAATTAAATATTTATTCAACGTTTATTTGTTGCAATGCCGTGAAATAAATTGTATTATATATTTTCTCAGTTTAGACTGAATTTAAAGTTCGTAAGGATTAGATATCAGGTTGACCTGTGGTCGTAGATTAAGAATAGCCATAGTGAAGGTAAAATTATTACGTTAAATAATTGTTTTTATACGAATTAAATATTTATTCAACGTTTATTTGTTGCAATACCGTGAAATAAATTGTATTATATATTTTTTCTGTTTACACTAAATTTAAAGTTTTGTTTACATGTTATAACAATTAGAATGTAGACGTTTTGCCGTTTCACGGTTTTTCCTCTGTTAATTATGTGTTTATAAATCATTTCAAACTAAAGCAGCACCATGCCCACCCTTAATTAAACCGTCTCAGTAGTTTACCGTAATTAATAATCTATTTTCGGAATTTATACGAGAATTTTTGAATTTTAGTAAATACTAGAGTCAGTGCATCGCGTATTGAAATAATAGCTTCATCCCTAGTTCGTTTATTACTGAATATTTTTACGCGTTTAACTTATGCTTCTCCCCAATTCTCGTCGCGTATTTTATTCAAATTTTCTTGTATTCTAGAATCGAGAAAGACATCAATTCGCGTTTTCATTCTTTACTTTATATTGTACATCACGTTTTATTCTATTTCAATTGAACTTGATTATAAAAATCAAGAATAACATAAAATCGCGGTTTCACCTGTTAAATAAAACTCAAATAAATCGCGTTTCGTAAACTTTTCGCGTGCGCCCATTTCACAGCCACCCCCAATTTGTGAGTCTTGCTAAATCAAGGCCAAGACGAATGAATCAAATGATTGACGGAAGGAAGACACTCAAAAGACATGAGGAATCTGAGAGGAGGAGATGCAGCCAAATCGACGTTGCAGTGCCCAGCTGTTTGATCTACGAATGGTGAGTGTATTTTTAGGTTTGGTGATTGGTTACACATGTGTGCATGGATATTTCGAATTGAACTACCAAGAGTTAAAATTCGAACTCGATGGATGTGAGCTCCAATACAAACTCTACGGGCCACGAGAGCCACTCGTGCAGAATGCCCACCCATTGTTAGAGTATCCCAATAGTATACCGTCTTAATTCAATTTAGAGTCAATTTTCGCAATGAATACCCACCTACAATTTTCGATCGATACGAAAATTTATAACGTCGCGTTTAATAATACCTTCATCCCTATTTCGGTTTTTGCTTCTTTTTACACCGCGTTTGTTTGATACCACCCTTAAATTTTTACTAAGTATCCCATCTAAAATGGACTATACATATAGATGTATCTATTAATAATACAGTGAATGCCTCAGAAAAAGACTGACTGTTTGCCATTAAATAGATTTATTTTCAATAAGGCAAATTTCACCTTTAGTTTTTAAACAATGAAAAAGAGATAGCATAAAATAATTTTTTTTTAAATCATTAAAAATAATTATCATCATTCTTAACACTAATTAGATTTAATAATAAAGAAATCATGCCAAAGTGACAATCACCAATTTCAATGAAACTTTAGTATAATGTAATCCTCAAAGAATAATTAAATATTCAATGTATCTTTTTAATTAGCAATTGTTCACATTGTAAGCATGCTTTCATAATTACAAGCAATAAACCTATTTGTTCTAATATCTCAAATTATTAAAGATAGAGAAATGATGTAAATGAAAGGATTTTGTATCCTTGAACAAAGAATTCAATTGGAAAAACAAATATCGAAAAAATTTATTCTCTTAGATAATGTTAAAAATTATTCTATATGGAATTGTCACACATTTTTCTTTTCAAACATTGGAAATATGTTTTTATGAGAAAAAGCAATGAAAATATTATATAAACATTAAATATGTTACTACAAAGTTATGATAAAAACATGAAATGATAACAAACTTGTTCTTCATATACTATAGTATGCAAATAAATTGATAATATTTATATAATCTATTTACATAAGCTATGTTTACAATATTTCATTTATCGATAAGACCTATGAATACAAACCT